GGTTCCGTCAGATCTAAAACCAATGACATGAGAAGGCCCCCACAAAAAAATAACAAAAAATAACAAAAACAAATACTTTATAATTTGTGCTTGCGAGTGAATCAACAGATTTCTGTTTCGAACGTTGCAGACGGCGACAAACAAGATCATCTTCCTAAACTCTTTCAAGATGAAGATCTCCATCATCATCGGGGTGGTGCACATGGTGTTCGGCGTCATGATGAGCCTCATCAACCACGTGTGAGTGTGCTCGGCATTGGCGGGGATCTTTCAAATTGTTCTTTTCGGGGAGTTTTCGTTTGAGAAAGAAAGGGTTGAAATAATACGAAAAAGAAGCTTTTTGCATCGAAATTTGAGACGATCCATGTTCCAGCCAGAACCGCAAGTACATATCCATTATCACCGAGTTTGTTCCCCAAATGTTGTTTTTGCTGCTTCTCTTCGGATACATGGCCGTGATGATGCTCATGAAGTGGATCCTGTACTGGCCGACACAAGGTAAGTCCGTCGCCCACACCACCGCAACCGCACAGCTGAGCTTCTTCCGCTCTATGTACTTCAAGCGCTCTCTTCTTCTCCCCTACAGACCCCAGCGAGTTCAAATCGTCGCCGACGTGCGCGCCCTCCGTGCTCATCACGTTCATCAACATGATGCTCTTCGGCGACAACCCCGAGGCGTTCACGTGCGACCCGTACATGTTCCCGGACCAGAAGAGCGTGCAGCGGATCCTGGTGCTGGCCGCGCTCGCCTGCATCCCCGTCATGCTGCTGGGCAAGCCTATCGCCATCCTGCTCACCAGGAGGAAACCGAAATATGTGAGTCCGTCCGTGGGTAGAATCTGCGGGCCAAGTGTTTGCATAAGGGGGAGGCAGACAGTTGTCCTAGTACATCCTGAAAAGGGTTTCTTTTAAATTTGTGGATACAGAAAGTACTCATATTCATAGAAATTTTCGTTCACTCGAGGAAAAACTTCCTTATTTTTTATAAAGTTTTCCTCAAATTAAGGGGAAAAGTTTCCCTTCTACTCGATTTCGGTCGAAATTTTGTTGAATCAAAGAAACCATTTTCTTGGTGTAGTAGTGTAAGTTTAGCATCCATTATCATTCATGGCGATCCATGGATAGCAGTGAGGAACCAACCCCCCCCC